GGAAGTTTACACTTTATCATAAGGGCTTTTGAAGAGTGCCAAGCAGGGAAGTGACAAAATTTGTATTTTTATACAGTAATAAAACAAGAAATAGAAAGTAAATGTACAGCTGTTAGAAAGAAGGAAACAAAATCTTACTATTTTCAGAAAATATCATAGTATATGAAGAAAATACATGATAAACCATTGGAAAACTCTCAGGGTCAATAAGAAAGTTTAGTGAAATTTTAATAACTTTTCTATTTATCGGTCATAACTTCTTAGAAGCTATAGGGGGGAAATTACTTAATTAAAACAGACATAAGTGACACTAAATATCTAGAAAGCATCCTTATAAAAATTATATTGTACCTATTCAAAGAAAATTTCAAATCTTTTATAAGAGATCTAAAAGAAGTTTTAAACAAATGGAGAGATTATGGTGTGTTATGGATTGAATTGTGTCCCCCAAAATTGTTTATCAACTTGCCTAGGCCATGATTCCCAGTGTTGTGTGGTTGTTCACCATTTTATGATCTGATGTGATTATCCTATGTGTTGTAAATCCTATGATGTTAATGGGCAGGATTAAAAGCAGTTATGTTAACAAGGCAGGACTCAATCTACAGGATTAGGTCTATCTTGAGTCAATCTCTTTTGAGATATAAAATAGAGAATTGAACAGAGAGGAGAGGAACCTCATTACCACCAAGAAAGAAGAGCCAGGAGCAAGCGTGTCCTTTGGACCTGGGGTCCCTGCACTGAGAAGCTCCTAGACCAGGGGAAGATTGATGACAAGGACCTTTCCCCAGAGCCGACAGAGAGAAAGCATTCTCTGGGACCAGGCACCCTGAATTCAGACTTTTTAGCCTCCTGGACTGTAAAAGAATAAATTTCTGTTTGTTAAAGCCATCCACTTGTGGTATTTCTGTTATAGTAGCAGTAGATAACTAAGACAGGGTGTTCTTAGCTAGGAAAATTAAATATTCTATCAAAATGAACATTCAATGGTAGTGCAAATTTAAAGTGATATTAAATACAATCTATTAATAGTTTTGAAGGGGAACAAAATATCTAAGAAAATGATAAGAATGATCTTGCCCTACCAAATATTAAAATTATTTACAAAGCTACAATTATTAAAACAGTTGATTTTGGAGAAGGAATTGCTGGAAATATGAATTAAAATATAATGGATAGCCGTGATATAAGTTTTAGCATATAAAAGTACATATTTTAAAAAGGGAAGTACTATAAATCATTGGAAAAGGGAGGAATTACTCAAAAAATAATTTTTGGAAAAGTGATTACTTAGAAAAAAATCAAGTTACAATCTCATTCTACCCTATATACTAAAATAAATTCCAATCAAAATAAAAAATTAACTATACAAAATAAAATGTAAAACCACCTATAGAAAGTATTGCAATAGGTATAACAGACTGGAATCAATATCCTCCATAAATAAAAATGCTGACAAGCAGAGAAATATGGAAAAAGGACATAAAAAATTTCATAAAATAAGAATTGTAAATGTCTAATAAATAAATGAAAGGAAAAAAAAAAAAACCTTACTAGGAACAAGAGACATGTCTTTTTTTTTTTTTTAATTGTATGTTAAATGAAGGTTTTCAGAGCAAACTAGCTTCTCATTAAAC